TGCTGCTATACATAAAATATTCCATCTGTACTGTATGCTGAGTATCCGTTTAAACCACAGGGAGAAGTGAATTGCCCTGCCATTCCACTCACCCAGGTAATCAGACCCCAAATTGAAAATATCCAGCTGCCAATTTCAGTCCAGTTTCAATATTCCCTGCCTGCCAGTGTGATGTTGCGTTTCCTGCAGGCTGTAAAGGTGGAGACAATATAAGTGGCTTATGAATGAAATTTGAATTTCATGGCCCAATATCATTTAGAGTCAGTAATTGAGCAATATGTGTCCTCTATAAAATGTATTCTGCTTATTCTGATTTGACTGGTGAAGCAGCTGGGTCATCACAATGGCATCAAATAACAGAACCATACATGTGTCTCCATCAACCATCGTATTGCCCCTTCTTTGCAGACACTAAGATCTAACCAACTGTATCTAGGAAAATGAATAAAAAAAAAAAACAAGATTGAAAAATATCCCAGAGGATTTACCACTGAGCCCCTGTTAGACATTGTATATTTTTGAAAGAAATTCCCCTCAATTTTTAATGGAAACAGGTTATAGAGGTATAGCAGTGTGCTCTAGAGGAGGGTCAACTGCTAATGTGCTATTTATTTAACAAGTCTTTACAAAAAGGGGGAAACAAAATACAAGAAGGCTTCAGACAGTTAAACATTTTAATATTTTAAACAAGAACGTGAAAAAAAAAAAGTGAGTAAAATTGAAAAAAACAGTTTAAGTACTTTAAGTGTGTCGCAGTCTTCATAAGCCACACCTGCAAGTCCTTGTCCTCAGCTGTTTCTGAGGAATATTTCTCCTGAAACTTGAAGTGTTTTGAAAGTTCTTTAAAAGTTTGTTTTTCTCAGGCTATGAGACAGCTCCTTTTTTTATATGCTGGATTTGTAGAAAATTTTATTGTGTGGCATTTCTGTCAGTGTAATACCTGAACCAAATTCAGTGCTGAATAGAGGTCGCAAACTTTTTTTTTTTCTTTAGCTTTTCTCTAATTCAGAAAGCAACATCAGCAGGGCTGAAGAGTTTTGATTGCCTTTTCAATACAAACCCAAGCAGACATTACCTAAACAACAGTATATAGAGCCTTTTTACTAAAGTATTTTCAGCCACAGAAGCATTTATTGTTTCATTACAACAAAAAATGTTTATAGAAAATAATTAGCATAAAAAAGGAACCAAACCTACCTATTTATTTAGTGGTACTAACAACTTCTCATCATAATTTATATTGAAGCTGGACTATAATAGGCTCATTGTATAAGCACCTGGAATGGAGAGGGCAGGAACACTTCCAGGCATCTTGGCAGCACTGGCAAGCTCTCCACCATGAAGGATTACTGAAATAAGGCATAAGGATGTCCCTGTGATGTCTCGGATATTGCCTCCCGCTGGTGCTTAGCACAGCCTCGTCAGTCACATTTGTGATTACCTCTGAGCTGTACCCAATCATAATTAAGGTGATGACATTCTTACTAATGCACCGCTGACGATGAGCTATGCTGTTGAATTTTGGACACGACGGGAAGAAGAAAACTTTTGCAGAAGAGCATAAAAAGCATGAGGCAAGCAATTCGTTTAGTGACATGAAAAAGAAAATGCAACAGGACTATTAAAGGCTATTGTTCGGTGCGTGCTAAAGAAAGGCAATTTGATGAGGGAAAAGGTGCAAGGAGCTGCTTCAGATGTGACCACTGTGTCTCCAGGGGAGTGATTTCTATTTCATTTCTTCCCCACCAGCTGAATAATCTCACTCTGCAGCACCTAATAGGAGTTCATAATTAAAACCAGATATATAGAGAAGTCGGATGAACATGAAGTACTCTCTGGAGAATGGAAAGTCTGAACATGATGCTAAAATAAAGATGAAAACAAGACTGTTGTACTACATCTTTTATTAACCACAGTGAATGTTTTGTGGCAAAAATACATACATTGAAAAAAAGCTCTTATTAATATTTTGAGTCCACCTTTCCCGGTTTTCTCTAATCATTTCGTTCCTCTTTGACTTTACTGAGGAGAATAAAGACAATAAACATGATTTATCACTGTGCACATGAATTGACTTGTTCTATAAATCTATGAAGTAATACAGTAGTTCTTCTTTAAAATCTGACTCAAAACAGCATAGAGCCCACAATCAGCTCCTACTCTCTACAATTGTCTAGTTAATGTGGGAGGAATTCAAAGTAATGACAAATTACTCAAACTCTTTTTTTCCTAGTGCTGAAGGAAACAAATTTCAGCATGATCTGCACTGTAATCATTCAGCCAAACACAACGAATTCATGTACGGTTATTTTTATGACAGTGACTTTTAGTGTTCAAATGTCAAAGCATGAAACATGGTCTGAGGTGTGAATGCTGGAACACATAATCACAGCAGATGCATCACAAGTTCAAACAGTTGGGACCGAACACTGAGAAACTGAGAAAAACTAATGGGTTCCAAGGTGCAGCTGAGCAGGCAGACAGGTGAACCTAATCAAGTGATGAAGTGAGAGACTAATGATACAAACCGGCATAAGTGGACATGTCCATGCACGTTCCTATCAAAAACCTATGCTCCAACTTTCAGTTACACACACTCATCGCCCCTCAAGTCACTGGTTAGACTTAAAAAAGAAAGATGCCGGAGGGTTGACGTGGTAATAATTTCTTCTTTAGTCTTTAAAAGAATCCCCACTTAAACACTGTGTGTAAATATATTGTGCAGGTAGATGCTTACAAAGATGCAGGGACACATTTTTGCATGTATAAATATGGACATAAATCACTTGCATGTGTGGTGCATATTTATGCTGTTGCAGATGACAGCAGCTTTAAATTATTTCCTTTTTATGGGTTTGGACTCTGCTGCTAATAATAAAATCATGATTAAACTTCTTTTTCTGTATTTATCAGTGGTTTACTTTATTTTGCTGTTGTGGTGGAAACACCACACCAAGCTGTTTCATTATCAGTACTAATGGCTGTTTCCTTAAACTCTCTAAAGTTACATAAATACATAAATACAACTTATGGCTTTACAGTTTATGTTCAACTAACTCTTGAATTCCTAGGGGGGGTTCAAATCCTTTTTTAAAAAATGCAGTAATATGCAAGCTTATGTTTAGGGTATCGTTTACGCATCTGCTTCTGCATACAGTGCATAATTTCCACCCTCTAAAGGTTTTTCTATTTCCTCCTCTCCATGAACCATGCAGCAACCACTGCAGCTTGTTGTTTCCTGAATGTAAAGTAGAGCGGAATAAGCATGTTGTATTACAGAAACTGTGTCTCTCAAGTAACCGGGTTCTTATCTGTTTAATGCACCACTCGCTAAATAATTTCTCACCTTGAAAGAAATATTAAATCACACAACAATGTTATTTTAAAAACCAGTCAGGCATATACAATGACAATTAGAAGTAAGAGGTTACAATTAAAATGATGTTATTGATTTTCATGTATACTTGTCTTGGAGTTAAAAACGATTAAAAAAAAATACCTCATTTCCGAATGTAGACAGGGCTAACCTTTAATTCTCGGCCAGAGGGTTTCCTGATCAGGACATGTGGTGCATAATAATCTATACTCATTGGACTTTGCAACACTGTCAGATGCTCCCCCATCCCTCTTTTGGTCACTGACTGCCACTATGTGGTCATAAATATTTAACACAGTTCTGCTGCAATTCAGTTTACACTCTTTTACTGTACAATGTTTAAAAAATTTGATTCCTGCAACCCACTTATCAGATTGTAATACGGCATCCTGTAGCCATGACTGAGATAAATTAGAAACCGTTTTTTTGAAGTATCACAGTCCTCCCAGAAATAGGCTGAAATATACCTGGGGAGAGACTCAACTTTTCTTGTGGGCAAGAATGTAATCTGCCTCGGCAAAATAATTCCGTTCCACCAACACTACAGCCTCCATCATCCATCATCATTAAGAAAGGAAAGGAAAAAACGGAAACACTATAATACTGATGAAAGCAGCCACAAGCACTGTACTGCTGTGTATTTCTGATCTAATTTTATTGTTTGATGGTGTGTTTTACCTTACTCCCCTGTAAATGTGTCACTTCATGACAGTTTGGCTGACGTGGCATTGAGTTTTGACATTGAGGCTTGGGCTAAAATGTTGTTTTTCATCTTTTAAAAACATCAGTAAATGTCAGAATGTGGCATCAGAGTTAGTATGTGATTTTTGTTTTATTTTTCAAAGGTCTGTCATTTTATACACCATCAAAAGTCATACAGAAAGATCTGGGACACCCAAATTTCAGCACAACAGTGGCCTAAAAAGTTCTGAGTGCTATGCAGTCATAATAAACGCAGACCCGCAGAGCAGAGTTTTACAAAATAGGTGGTTTCTAAATGCTTTCTTTTAAATAATAAATGAATGCTCACACTCGTGCTTTGGCAGCTGTTGAAGATTTTCTGGAAAGTTTCAAATATGTGGTTCCTACAACACTAGATTTGATACCTATGTTATTAGGAAAGGATGGATGTTTGCTTTAATTGTAGATATCCTGGGTGGCTGATACTGGCAGCACACTGCGGTGATAAGAAAGCCCATACACTGGGCTCATGCCTGTGTGGTGGAAGCTCTCCACCTTGCCAAGCTGCCGCAGATGGAAGAGCAGGGTGAGCTTTCGGGTCATGGTTCTAAGTGCCAAGAAGGAGGCCAGGATCTGGGCGAGCAGGAAGAGGAGATAGATGGAGTGGACAGCTCTCTCCAGAGGCAGGATGATAATTCCTTCATCGGTCAGGAAGAACAGCAGCACTGGCAGCTGGAACATGAAAGACAGGAGCCAGAAGGCTGCCAGCTCTGGCACCTGATGACAGGGAGGAAAAGAGAGAAAATTTGGGTTGGCGCGCACAAACGATGAAAAGATGCAGCAGTCATCCATCAAGTGCTCTGGTTGAATCCACATGAAAGCAAAGACACACATTCACTAAAACTCAGTAGGCACTTGCAGCCACAAGCAGGTATAAAACTCAGCAGTTTCCTCCTCTGTGTTTTTTCAGGGTTCATAAAAGAGCTTCATGTAGTTCAGTGCAGGATATAAATTTGAAATACCTTTTCTTTAAGGTTGCCAGTGTAGCCCAGATAAAGTCGAACCACTTCGATGACTGTGAGTAGGATCATCCCAGTAATGAGCAGAGCCTGATAGTACCCAGGAAGATAGTAGAACTGGCAAAAGTGAAGAGCTGTAATTAATGAGTATGATCAAGGAGTGTGTGTGTGTGTGTGTGTGTATGTGTGTGTACACACAGGCATGTTAGATTTTTATGTAAACCTTTTTTTTTCAAAATATTGATGAAACAAGTTTTATTTTTCAAAAAGACAGTGGATGTTGAGTTCACTGCTTGTGCCTCTTCTGAGTTTATGTGAGGAGGTTTAGAGTTCATTTTGAAGACACCACTAGATGGAGCCAAAGTCAAGTTTTCCAATTGATATACTGGGCTTAATAAATAGATTCGGTTCATCAAAACCTGAACTGTTGACTTCAAGAGGAATACTTCTATTCTCATGTGTGTGTTTCATGGACTAATTTGGCACTAACCTTTACTTCCAGCATGAACACAGCTGAAAACCACCAACAGGGAAAATAAAACATATTGAAATACAGGAGCATTTGAAGGGGGAGGTGAGAAACCAGCTCGTTGACCACTGCAAGACAAATAACAGTGCACAAAACATTAACCTCCTAGGAATTGGCGTCCACATATGTGGACATCACATTTTGGGTTATTTAGACCAAAATACTCAATTTCGCTCTACAAGGGCCTGATATCCAGTTACGAGGACATTATACTGCTACTGTTCTGTCAAAAATTTTAAATGCACATCCTCATATTTGGCTCTCATTTTTCTTAAAAAACAAAAATCAGGTAAAAAAAACAAATCTGGTAATTCTTTGTTTTTACATTCATCAGGTCCCAATCAGCCCAAATATAAAAGAGAAATTAAAAATGCATGCTGTGGAAGAGTTAAGGGAGGTTAAGTTGAAAAACTGAAGTGAAATTTGACTAAACGAAGAAAAACCTTTAATAGCTGATGTTACAACAGATCTAAAAAGAAGCAATCTGAGTTTTAGGCTTGAAAACATTTTTGTTATTGACCTTAAGAAACTTCTTTTTCTTTTTTTTCTCTTTCTTGTTTTTTTTTTTTTTTAGCAATCCTTTATTATGCACACTGTGATTTACTTGAGAATTAAGTCATAAGTCTTGTCCTTTACATTCTCCAGTACGAGATAGCATTGTGCTGTATAGTAAACATATTACACTAAAGTTCTAAACAGTCTTTGGAAGCACAAACTAACCAGATGCATCCTCTTGCTCCCTGGTGAAGTCACTGTCTGCTGTCCTGTTGTTTGTGAACACAGAACCTCCCATATACACCAGACCCACCGGCAGGTTTTCGGGAACAGGCGAGTAGAACACAGGCATTGTTGACAGAGGTGGTGATCATGACAGAGCCAAGGAGTCAGGAGGTTTACAATCCCAAAAATATGTTTTCAGTATCCGTTGCTCATTTTTGTCTTAAGTTAAACAATCGCACAATACCAGGCTAGAAGAGATGCAAGTGGACACATAAAGGCACATGCTGGCAGACGCTACTGCTAATCTGATTATTGTGAAGGAGGCGGGCTGAAGATTAGCCTGAATCAGTTGCATGCTTACTTGAAGTTAGCGTCCATCTATGATGATAATTTGATTTTCTAATTAGGGAATTCAGCAGATACTTAAACGTTATAGAGATAAAGTTGCGCGTACTCTTTGCAGTATGTTTGGAAATTCTACATTCTTTGTACACATATTTAAAGCGACGATTCACTCTGGCAGGTTTTGGTGTATTTTATAGTCTTTTTATTTAAATTCTGCAGATAAACACAATGACATAACACTCTGCTCAATGCACCCGGCCAGCGAGTCATCAGAGTGGTGCCTGGCTTATTTTGGCCTTTGGGCCTCACTCGTCATTATTGTGACCGTGGTGCAGAGACAGAGTTTGGCCACAAGGTGTCATCACAGCTCGTCCCTGGGGGCGCGCAGGGGAAAATGCTGAAACTCCTCTGGCACCTCTTCCCCTTTCTTGGACCTCTTGTAGAAGCCGAGTGAGTCTAACAAGCTGCTGATCTCGTCTGCCTTCATTTTCTTCACAGAAACAGTCTGGTCCACACACACATACACATACACAGGAGGGCAGACATGTTTGGTTCACAACGTGGTTAAAGGCAGTAATGCGTTGTATATTAGCTGTATATGTAGATATAACATGATTTACTAAACCCCTTTTTTTACTTGGAAGTGTTTAGCCACTAGAGATTTAGAGGGTCCAACTATTTTTTTGTTTCTCTTTACCTAAAGTCAAATTATAATCTCCCAGAGAAGCCACATTAGAAAAACTTTAGCCTCTAAACAAAGCTTTAGATGGAAAATTTAAAAGGCTTTACTCAAGAAAGCAGTAATACTTGGCTCTTTTTCGATGTAGGCCAGCATTAAGAAAATTCATTTTTATTGGTTTTAATGTAGAGGCTAATTGGGCAATAACTGCAACGGGGGGTTTCTACCCTGGAAAAATAAATGGCATGTGAGAAGTGCTTTCAAGGCACACAATTTTCAGTCACATCAACTCTCCTGTCTCGGTACAAAAAATATTGCTCCATTCTCAGAATCCCAAGTTCATATACTGTATGTATATATTTTCAACTCTCATTCAAGTACATCCTCTTTCTTGGTATCTGACAGATGATCTGTTATCACATGAAGTAATATCGAAACTTTCCCACATGAATCCCGTTTGACATTCTGACTGGTCTCTTGATAAGCTCCATCACAAGGCAGCGGAATAAAAGGTCCCTGTACTCACTTCTCACCTTAACAATCTCATCCTTTTCATTGTAGAATATCAGACGGGGTTTCTTCTCCTCTGATGAATCATATTCCAAGTTGTGGCTACACAGGAAAAAGCAGATCAAGGGAAACAGGTAGGAGGGGTTGTGAAGAACAAGGCATATCCATCTGTTTCGCTATTTTTAGGCTCACTTAACATGATTTTTTTACTTGGAATGCTCACAGAGCTGGCACTGAACTTGGCAGCTTGCTAGGAATACTGTTTTGTTTACAAAAGAGGTCATGAGAAAATCAGTAGTGATTTTTGTGGAAGGCTGACAGCTTAGCAAAAAATCCCGAGGAACATGAAAACAATACAAGGATACTATAAAGCCATTCGCTCCATGAGAAAATGATAGAGCTCGGGCATTTTCTTTATGCTTCATCCGACCACACTGGGAGCCTGCAGGGATGACAAGAGACATTTGTTAAAACAGCATGAGAAAGAGGAGTGTACATATCTCATTCTTTATGTGATCAAAGGTGACAAAAAAGGTGTCACATTACAGCAGAAAATAAACTGCCATGACAGCACAAGACCTATCCATCACCATGCACACTATTTCCTCACTTGTTTTTGAATATTATGTGTAGATTTAATTTTTCACTTCACAGGATTTTGCTCTATACTTACCAGCAGTTTAGCTCTGGCTATAACGAGCTTTTCTTCACCTACTGTGTCATTGTTAGCTTCGGATAGCCTGAGAGCGAGGGTAAGAGTAAGCACCAAGAAGGTCCACATTTTTGCTAGATGGCAAAATCTTTAGCTCCTTTTTCTGAGTTAAAGCATTGATAAGTGACCCTTTAATACTCTTGGACAGTTTTTACAGGGTGGACAAGACCATGGCCACCTCTGTAGGGGAGCAATGCACACCTGGGCTGAACTGTTAATCTCACTTTTGTGATTTTCTGTCATAGATTGTGTGTTAGTATAAGAATTAGGCTGGTAGCTTACCAAGTAGGTTCCCACCACATACTTATTCAGCAACAGAGTTAGCTGTTAGGGTGTTTTTCTATATGTCAAAGGGGCCCCCAGGTTTATATTTTATAGTTTCTTCCAGATCAAATATCATTGGGGGAACACAGAACATCTGCACTCTTATCAGTTTTTCCCATGCAGTAAACTTGCAGGTGGTTAATGGTCACAGAGAACCACGTTTCTACCGACTCACTCCCCCAATACAGCTAAACTGGTTCATGACTAAAAACGTCATGAAACCATCTGCCATCGCAGGAATAAGAACATGACAATGTTAGCCTATGATCACATTCACATCTATGGGCAATTTCAAATAACTGATAACCCCAACTTGCACTTCTTTGACTTGTAAGAGAAAACAAACCCCCACCGAAACACACAAAAAGGCCTCCACATGTCACATTTTTTCCAAGTAATGTAGCTTTATAATTACATTTACATAGAAGACGAATATAACCGCTAATACAGTAAAATATTAGAAAGATCACTGAGTGTACAGAACATTTCAATGTCAAATATTGAGTATATTTGCTACAGATACAGTACAACTTTTTGCGCTATTTGGGGGCAGCAGCAAAAATTCTGATATCCATCCATTCAATCTGATGTGTAAAAGGTTTCACAATGCAACTGTCTATGCATAGGTTTAAATGACACAGAGAAAAATTCTAATTTACAGCATGTAAAAGAAGTATTGAAAACATCACCAATTTTCTGAGTAAATATATTTCTACAGCTGCTATTGGCATGAAGTTCTCATCGAATGTCATTAACAACCCATCAAATCCACACATGCAAAGAAATCAAATCATAGATGTCTAGAAATTATGTCTAATAATGAGAAAAGACGCAGGGACAACATATTGAATGCATTTACTGAAATGTATTTCATACTTTGTGCAAAAGCCTTTGTTGGTGATGACAGCTTCCTGTAAGAAGAAGCTACATTGTTTGCCTACTGTATATGAAGCTGCATTGCTCAGGTGTGACACTGGCCCATTCTTTCACACAAAAACAGTCTGCATTGGATTTGGTGATGTGTTCAATACTCATTTTACCTGCTGTATATGCAGTTTTAGCCACTTTGGGATTGTATGGAGTCTTAATACATCCTTTTATCTGTAACAGGCAGAGTAGCTGCCTTACCCTACTTCCAGTCATTGTACTAAGCTAAACTATCATCGTTCAGTTCTGGAGCTTTACTGCACAGACATGACGGTGTTAGGGATCTTCACATGTAACTCTCACCAAAAAAGCTATTAAGTATATTTTCTAAAACATCGGACTAATCCATTAAGTCTCAGCGATATCCTTTTATTCCGCATTGTTTAGGATTCTGAACAGAATGTTCCTCTTGACACACATTTGTTAAGTCATATTTTGTAAATCCTGCAGTTATGTAGCTGAACAAAACACTAGCTCTATTCTGATCCGTGAAAGCAGTATATGGCTTGTTCCCACTGTTTTTTCATTCTGACTTTCCCTTTTCTAACTTTCTTTCTGTGCGATGTTTAATTCCATTGTGCTCTCTCTATGAAATCAGGCCTTGTGACAGCATAGCACATTTGCACTGTGTCAACACCCTGGGGGGAAGAAAACATCTCGGCCCTCCGAGTTTACTCTACTGCTTTGTATTGTGCAAAACTCTAATTCATTAGGTCACCATAAGAGGGCGGTAACACCCACATGTACACTTCCTGGCAGTTTGGCGGGTAACGTGTACTTCCAAATCCTAGCCACAGACAATTATGTTTCCAACAAAAATAAACCATTCCTGCCTGGAATGCTGAAGCGAAAACCATCTTGCTGTCTCTGTCTTTTCCAGACACAGAGCGTTGCAGCTCAGAGTCTTGCGCTCTGCATGTACTGTTTGGGATTATGTGTCAAACGGCAATAAAACAGTCCTCTTTTTTTAACAGGGTTTCCTCCCCTTGGCAGCTGTTGTAAATCTACAGGCTTGTACACTTGCAGCAGTTTTACGTCTGCACCTTTGTATCGTACTGTTCCAGGTCTCTCTTTCACAATGAAAGTTGGACCCAAAAGAAGTGAATGAGAAATAAGAATGTTGAGAAAAAGGATGGCTCACATGAAAAAGAGAGAGAGAGAGAAAAGCACACAATGAGCGGTGGGGGTGGGGAGAGCTTGCCGAGGCTGACTCCTCAGTCCATACGTGTGGATGCATACCATATGTGTTCACAATCAGCATGTTTCAGCTTACATCACATGGTGCATGCCAAAAGGGGGCTGTTGTTATTATTACTCTGCTGACAAAGGGGAAATATAGTCATTAATAACTGGAAGGTTATGGAGCTTAGATGGGAGATGATGAAAACATTTACAAAGTTCGCACTGAGCAACTTTTTCCAGTAGGAGTTTTAAAAAATTGCAACACTAGCAGCTGTTAAAAGATCAAAAGCTACAACACCTCACTGCAATCCTCCCTCCTTCAGAGAGCTTGTTATAAAGATACACACTTCCTTTTTCTCCAAAGCACCGGATGCTGCCTACCAGCCGGCAACCAACAATTACTCTGTGTGTCTGTTCTCTTATGATGTGGACAATTATTTGTGGGTGTTTGTGAGAAATGTTTGACTCTTGTGTCTCCTCTGTGCTCCAATGTTAATATCTATAAGTATGTTCAAGAATAAGCAAAGTAGATGGTTAAAAATGTATCTTGATTAAGTTCTAAACGTTTAGCTCTCTGTCTTTTCTTGCTCTCTCTCTCT